ATGGTGGCGATGGTGGTGGTAGTGATGATGGTGGTGGTGATGGTAATGGTGATGATGATGGTGGTGGTGATGATGGTGGTGGTGGTGATGATGGTGATGATGGTGGTGGTGGTAATGGTGGTAGTGATGATGGTGGTGGTGGTGATGATGGTGGTGGTGGTGGTAATGGTGGTGGTGGTGATGATAGTGGTGGTAGTGATGATGGTGGTGGTGGTGATGGTGATGATGATAGTGGTGGTGGTGGTGATGGTGATGATGATGGTGGTGGTGGTGGTGGTGGTGGTGGTGGTGATGATGGTGATGATGGTGGCGATGGTGGTGGTAGTGATGATGGTGGTGGTGATGGTAATGGTGATGATGATGGTGGTGGTGATGATGGTGGTGGTGGTGATGATGGTGATGATGGTGGTGGTGGTAATGGTGGTAGTGATGATGGTGGTGGTGGTGATGATGGTGGTGGTGGTGGTGAAGGTGATTTTATGATAATCATGAAATGATCGGATGATGATGATGGTGATGAGGATGATGATGACCTTTGTGTGTGTGTGTGTGCATGTGTGTGTGTAGCGATACTAGAATTTGAACTCAAGACCTCACATTTGCTTGGCAAGTGCTCTACCACTTGAACCATGCTCCAACTGTTTAATGGTTACTCCTTTTTTTGTTGTTGGTCATGGGACTTGAACTCTGGGCCTAGGCGCTGTCCCTGAGCTCTTTTTGCTCAAGGCTAGCGCTCTACCTACCACTTTGAGCCACAGCTCCACTTCCAGTTTTCTGGTGATTGGTTGGAGATGAGAGTCTCACAGACTTTTCTGCCTGGGCTGGCTTTGAACTGCAATCTTCACATCTCAGTCCCAGAGTAGTGATGGTTACTCTTAATTGTCAACTTGACCCAATTTTTTTTTGTCGGTCATGGGGCCTGAACTCTGGGCCTGGGCGCTGTCCCTTAGCTCTTCAGCTCAAGGCGAATGCTCTACCACTTGAGCTACAGCGCACTTCCGGTTTTCTGGTGGTTTATTGGAGATAAGAGTCTCACGGACTTTTCTGTCCAGGCTGGCTTTGAACCGTAATCCTCAGATCTCAGCCTCCTGAGTAGCTAGGATGACAGGCGTGAGCCACCAGCGCCTGGCTATCTTGACCCGATCGAGAGATGTTTAAAAGATTAGTAGAGCACACTGCTGGGGAGCCTGAGAGGGCGTGTCTGGGGAAGATCGGCATGCGGGACAGCCAATGAGGGGGAAGAACTCGCCCTGAGCATGGACAGCACTGTCCAATAGGCCGGGGGCTCAGCTGGGCTGCAGGGGGGGGGACAGCCAGCACCTGTCAGGGAGCCGCACCCTCCTTTCCAGTGCGTCGGCAGCTGCTGCCGTGTCGTGGATGTGGACATGGACGGCAGACGCGGCCTCTTCAGCCTTTGATGAGGACCTGCACCCCACTCCCCGGGGCCTTCCCGGCCCTCGGCCTCCCCATCACCTTCTTCTGGAGCTTCCAGCTTCCTGGGAGGACTGAGTAGCTCTGGGTTATCTGTCCATCATGCAGACGATTAGTCTCCAATCATACAAGCCAACTGTATGTCATACTATATACCTGTATCTATATCTCTATACACACGTGTGTATGGATGGATGGGTATTCATATATATGAATATATATCCATCCATACATACATACATACATACACATGTGTGTTCTATTGGCTCTGTTCCTCAAGAGAATCCTGAGCAATGCAGTGAAGATGGTGGTGGTTGTGATGGTGGTGGTAGTTGTGATGGTGGTGGTGGTGGTGGTGGTGATGATGGTGGTGGTGGTGGTATCATTGGTGGTGATGGTGTTGATGGTGATGGTGGTGATGGTGATGGTATTGATGGTGTTGATGGTGATGGTGATGGTAGTGGTGGTGGTGGTAGTGATGATATTGATGGTGTTGATGGTGATGGTGGTAGTAGTGGTGGTGATGGTGGTGGTGATGGTGGTAGTGATGGTGGCGGTGTTGGTGGTTGTGATGATGGTGTTGGTGGTGTTGGTGGTGGTGATGGTGGTGATGGTGGTGGTGGTGGTGGTAGTGATGATGGTGATGGTGGTGGTGATGGTGATGATGGTGGTGGTGGTGTTTGTGCTGGTGATGGTAGTGATGGTTGTGGTGGTGGTGGTGTTTGTGCTGGTGGTGGTGGTGGTGGTGATGATGGTGGTGCTGGTGGTGCTAGTGGTGGTTGTGCTGGTGATGGTGATGATGGTGGTGATGATGGTGATGATGGTGGTGGTGGTGATGGTGGTGGTGGTGATGATGATGGTGGTGATGGTGGTGGTGGTAATGATGGTGGTGGTGGTGGTGATGATGGCGATGGTGGTGGTGATGATGGCAATGGTGGTGGTGATGATGGTGATGGTGATGGTGATGATGGTGGTGGTGATGATGGTGATGGTGGTGATGGTAATGATGGTGGTGGTGATGATGGTGGTGGTGATGGTGATGATGGTGATGATGATGGTGATGGTGGTGATGGTGGTGGTGATGGTGGTGATGGTAATGATGGTGGTGATGATGGTGGTGATGATGGTGATGATGGTGGTGGTGATGGTGGTGGTGGTGGTGGTGATGGTGATGATGATGATGATGATGATGGTGGTGGTGGTGGTGGTGGTGATGGTGGTGGTGGTGATGATGGTGGTGGTGATGGTGGTGGTGGTGATGGTGGTGGTGATGATGGTGGTGGTGATGATGGTGGTGATGATGGTGGGGGGGATGGGTGTGGGCCCCTTTCTTGTTGCTGTGGTACCATGCCAGGCAGAAGCAGCCTGGAGGAGGACTTACCTGGCTCATCTTCAGAGGCTCCGTCTTGCGGCTGTCTGACCCATGTGCTTGGCAGACCGTCGCGGTGGCAGTGTGTGTGGTGGAGGGGAAGTATGACAGGAAGTGCCAGGATGCGGTCCCTGGTGACCCGCGTTGTCCAGCTGGGCTCCGCCTCCCCAAATTTCCACCGTCTCCTGCAGCTCGGGCCAGGTGCTCGGCCAGGTGGGGAGGTGGGGGTGGGCCCTGGGACCCCTGTTTTCTGCACAGTGCTCTTGTGGAGACCAGTGAATCACCTGGCCTGAGCTGGACATCTGTGTCCAAGAGGACGGTGCTGACCACCTGTGAGACCAGGCTGGAGGGGGGCAGCTTTGGGGGACCCTGGGGACACAGGACGCTGCAGGACCCCAATGACTCCTTCCTGGGCCCTCCAGTGACCACATTTCCAGAGCCTGGGCTCGTGTCTCCCCAGGCCCATTCCCAGGTCCGGGTGGCGGGCTGAGTGGTCAGAGGTCTCTGTCCAGTGAGCACACCGCTGGGTCCTGCCCTGCCCCAGGGAGCTGTCCTGGTCTGACTCTGCCTCTGTCGCCTGCCAGCACCCAGAAAGCCCACCAGAGGGCGCTCTGCAGCAGGGAACAGAGGCGGCTCGGAGCTCCAGGCTCCGGCATGGACGGAGGGATGAAACACAGGGCAAGCGGCGGCCGGGCCCGGTGCCCAGGCTGCAGCGGTGCGGAGTCCCCACCTCTCCATGCCAGCGGGGAGGGCTTGGCGGCACCCCCAGGCCCCCCGGCAGGGCTGTGACGTTGGGCTTCTGTGTCCAGAGGCCTGGGGGGCTGGGAGGGGGGCTGGGAGGGGCCTGGTGGAGGCCAGGCTGAGCGGCTGGCTGGGGGCTGGCTGGGGCGCTCTCCACGCGTCTGCGGGGCAGGCGTGGGCGGTTGGACGTCTGTGACCCCTGGTTTCTGTCCCTGTGGTCATAGCTCTGGGGCATAGGTCGAGGAGCACACTTGTGGTCCTTTTCTATGAGATGTCCTCTTTCCTTCTTTTCTTTTCCTTTGTCTGTCTGTCTGTCTGTCCATCTGCTGGTACCGGGGCCTGAACTGAGGCTGCGGGAGCCTCTGCAGCGGAGACAGGATTGGAGCAGCCTTGCTGAACCTGGAGCCGGCAGGCTGCAGGCGGAGGGCACGGCCGAGCAAGGGCCCCGTGGTGGGAGCCTCGGCCGGCCGCTCGCACAGCCGGGCTGGCACGACTCCATCCTGCAGGGTCGCCGGCCCCCGCCGTCACCAGGCTGGAAGGAATCGGTCTGCCACACCCCAGTAGCTCTTCATCCAGGAATCCGAGCGCTCTGTCCCACGGCCCGGCAGCGGGTTCACGCGAGGACACGCTAGTCTTCCTGCGGGCCGGGGGAGGGGCGGCCTGGCCCTGGGCCACCGCTCTGCGCCAGCGCTTTGTCTGCCTGTCTGGCCGGAAGCAGCTGCTGCCAGGGCGGGCGGGGCTGCGAACCCGGGCTGCCAGAGGCCCCGGGGCTCCCTGCCCTCCCCCGGCCCCCAGCAGACACACCTGGGCCCCCACGCCTCCAGACCTGGGGTGCAGAGGCTCTTGGAGGGCCCGCTCTCATCCTGTTCTTCCCTTGCCATTCGGCCCAGCTCCCCGGAGACCCTCCGGACCATCTGGTCGCCCGGCCTGGGCGATGCCAGACGGCACTGCCTGGCCAGAGATTTTGGCCACCTGTCAGCCCGGAGAAAGTGGGGAGGGCAGGAGGGGGGAGCCAAGCCCTTGTAGACAAGCGGAATGTCCCCAGCACCGGGGCCTCTCCACTGGGGCAGACCACCCAGCCGCTGGCCCTGGGAGAATTCGGGCCCCGTATCCTGGCACGAAAGTGTCCCTTCTCCCCGTACCACCTGGCCTGGCTGGCCCTGCGGTGGGCGGGCGGGGGGAGGGGGAGGCTGGGTCCTGCCCCGCCCTGGGGCTCACAGACAGTCTTTGAGAGAGGACTGGGGGGGGGGGGGAGACACGGGCATCTTTGCTCGTGAGTGACTTTGTGAGGTGCCCCAGGGCTCGCCCTCTCCGCGCCACCCACACCAGGTCCTTGTCCCTGTCGCCTCCCCTGGGACTTCCCTTGACGGGGGCCCAGGGCCCGGGCAGGACCCCGTCTCCTGGGACCCTGGACAGTGAGGCCTGGTCCCCACCGCCCAGCCCACTCCTGCCCGGCACGGTGCGCCCGAGGCCCGTCCCGCGGCCCAGGCTACGCGCTTGGCTTTCCTCTCCCCATGGCTGTCCCGGTGATGAGCTCACACTGGCCGGGGATCTGGTTTCTAGCACCTTCTGTTGATATTCTTTCACATGTCTCAGCTACTTTTTGTTTTTTATTTTTTGGATGGACCTGGGGCTTGATCGGACTCGGGGCCTGGGCGCTGTCCCTGAGCATTTTTGCTCAAGGCTAATGGTCACCCACTTGAGCCACAGCTCTACTTCTGGCTTCTCTGTGGCTCATTGGAGATAAGACTCTCCTGGACTCTCCTGTCCGGGCTTTGCGTGGAGATCTTCAGATCGCAGCCTCCGGAGTAGCTGGGATGCCAGGCGTGAGCCACTGCGGTGCCTGGCTCGGTCACTTGTATAAGATCTCATTCAACTTCCCAGACGGATCAGAACGGAGCCTGGTGGGGCATGCCTGTAATCTCAGCAATTGAAAGGCTGAAGCAGGAGGACTGTGGTCCAGGTCAGCCTGAGCCCCCCCCCATCTTCCTTAGTTGAATTCTCTCCGCACGGCTGCCCCGCCCCCAACCTGGAAGAGACAACGGCCACCGCTCCTAAAAGATGCACCACCTCGTGCACCCTGGATGCTCGTCCCTACCACCTGGGCAGAGGGCGCTGCCATGCAGGGGACTCAAGTCCTGTCCACGGGGGCAGGAGACGCCGCTGCCGGTGGCCGTGTCACACCAGCTGGGCTCTGGCCCAGGGCTTCCGTGGCTCGGGCCGGTGTCCGTCTCGTGGGGCGCCCGGCCCCACCCCGGGGAGGGGAGGAGGGGAGGAGGGGAGACGCGGCGCCAGGCTGCCCTGGCCACAGTGGCTGCCGTGGCATCGTCCACGGGCCTCCGCAGAATGGAAGGGCCTGGTGCCCGGCCACACTGCCCTGTCCCACCCTGGATGGCCACCGTCCCCCAGCCCCAGCACCACCCCCCTCCTGCTCTTCCCGCCGGCCGCCCCGGGCCTGCCTCCCCCTGCTCCCCGGCCAACGCCAGCCTAGGGTGCTGAGCGCGGTGACCTGTCCCCTGAAGACCCCACAGAGAAGTGCGCCTTGAACGCGCCTCTTCCTGGACGGGCAGGGGGACCAGAGCTGGGGAGGGGCCGGGGCAGACAGAGGCCCCGCAGGGAACCAGCAGGGCCCGCCATGCTCCCAGGCTCCCTCAGCCCAAGGTGGGAGCAAGGGAAGAAGGGAAGGGAGGGAGGGAGGGAGGGAGGGAAGGAGGGAGGGGTAGAGATTGCCCCAAGACCCCTGGCAAGGTAGGGGCAGGGGCAGGAAAGGGAGCCTCAGAGCGGGCGTTGTCAGGTGTTGGGGTGCAGTGGCTGGTAGGCGTTGTCAGGTGTTGGGGTGCAGTGGTAGGCGTTGTCAGGTGTTGGGGTGCAGTGGTAGGCATTGTCAGGTGTTGGGATGCAGTGGCTGGTAGGCGTTGTCAGGTGTTGGGGTGCAGTGGTAGGCGTTGTCAGGTGTTGGGGTGCAGTGGTAGGCGTTGTCAGGTGTTGGGGTGCACTGGCTGGTCAGGGCGGCGGGTGGAGGGGCTGTGGCCGGCCCTCACTGCCCTCTCCCTCATGTTCCGGAACTCGGGGCACACGTCAGAGGCTGGGAGCTGTGACCTCAGCCCTGCTCCAGGGGTCCCAGGGTCACCCCAGGAGACGAGCGCTTTAACCCCCAATCGCCATTTCCTGACGTTCCAACAGCAGCCGGAGCTCAGGCCCCAGGCAGGGGTGACAAGGACCGATGGCCCTTCCTGTGCCAGCCACCTGGGTGGCGCCAACCCAGCCTAGCCCTGGGCATCATGACACCCACCCAGAGCACAGAGCTGACCCCTCCCATGGCCACGGACGCCAAGCTCAGGGTTTCCCTGCACCCCACAATAGCCCACGCCACCCCTCCCCCACCCCTTACCCACCCCCACCCCTCACCCACCGCACCCCTCCCCACCCCTCCCCTCCCTCCCCCACCCCTCACCCACCTCACCCTCACCCTTACCCACCCCTCACCCACCCCTCACCCACCCCTCACCCACACCACCCCTCACCCACCCCTCACCCACCCCTCACCACCCCTCACCCACTCCACCCCTCCCCCAACTCACCCCTCCCCCACCCCACACCACCCCTCACCCACCCCACCCGTCACCCACCCCTCACCCACCCCACCCCCACCCTCACCCACCCCACACCACCCCTCCCCCACCCCACCCCTCCCCCACCCCACACCACCCCTCACCCACCCCACCCGTCACCCACCCCTCACCCACCCCACCCCCACCCTCACCCACCCCACCCCTCACCCACCCCACACCACCCCTCCCCCATCCCACCCCTCCCCCACCCCACCCCTTACCCACCCCTCACCCACCCCACCCCTCCCCCACCCCTCCCCCACCCCACCCCTCACCCACCCCACCCCTCACCCACCCCTCACCCACCCCACCCCCACCCTCACCCACACCACCCCTCACCCACCCCACACCACCCCTCACCCACCCCACCCCTCCCCCACCCCACCCCTCCCCCACCCCTTACCCACCCCTCACCCACCCCACCCCTCACCCACCCCACCCCTCCCCCACCCCTCCCCACCCCACCCCTCACCCACCCCTCACCCACCCCACCCCTCACCCACCCCTCACCCATCCCTCACCCACACCCACCCCACCCCTCACCCACCCCTCACCCATCCCTCACCCACACCCACCCCACCCCTCCCCCACCCCACCCCTCCCCCACCCTCCCCCACCCCACCCCTCCCCCACCTCACCCCTCCCCCACCCCACCCCTCCCCCACCCCTTACCCACCCCTCACCCACCCCACCCCTCCCCCACCCTCCCCCACCCCACCCCTCCCCCACCCCACACCACCCCTCCCCCACCTCACCTCTCCCCCACCCCACCCCTCCCCCACCCCTTACCCACCCCTCACCCACCCCACCCCTCCCCCATCCCTCACCCACCCTCACCCACCCCACCCCTCACCCACCCCACCCCTACCCTACCCCTTACCCACCCCTCCTCCACCCCACCCCTCCCCCACCCCTCCCCCACCCCGCCCCTCACCCACCCCACCCCTCACCCACCCCTCATCCACCCCACCCCTCATCCACCCACCCCTCCCCCACCCCACCCCTCACCCACCCTTCACCACACCATGTCTGCTTTGGTCCCCACAGCTCACCGGTGACACCGAGCCCTCCCTCCCTCCGACTGGGTCTGGGTCCCGCTGGGCTCTGTCTCTAGCACCGGGGTGAGTCCCTCCCTCCACACAGGCTGCTCATGGGCCATGGTCACATGCGCACCCCAGGACCAAGAGCAGGCTCACCCTATGAGCTGACAGTGCTACTGCTCCTGACAACAGCACCCGGGGCCTGGAGGCTGCCCCGAGCCCCACGCACAGACAGAGCTGTGCAGAACAGAGAGGTGGAGGCAGCTGCCTGGTGATGCACAGCCGAAGTGGGCGGAAGCCCGGAGGGACGGGGCACCTCAGCCCAGCACGGTGCACCTCGCCCCGGGACCAGGGTGGCGTGGGAGCCCCAGGCCAGGCCCAGAGGGACAGCGGGGGACAGGGGGTTCCCGGAGCGCCGGGAGCCAGCGTCCCCTCCACCTCCCGCATCTCTCCCACACACAGTCGGGACGGCTGCCGTGCGGCTGGCACGCCTCGTCCCCGCCCCCATCTGCACTGCGTGCTCCTCTTCCTCCTCGGGCCTCAGCTTACCCACCAGCAGAGGTTGACGGGGCTCTGCTTGGTCCCAGCCAGGTGTCCACTGAGGGGCCGAGAGGCAGGAAGCGTCACGGGCAGGGAGGGGAAGGCGGGTGTTGGGATCGCTGGGAGGCAGCACTGGCAGAGGGCGCTGGGAGGCACACCTGCCCGGGAGCCCCTCTGCCTAGCGGCTAGGGCAGGACCCGCCGGGACAGCAGCTCTGCCCGGGAGCCGGCCCGCGCACGGGCCAGGCTTTGCTGGCTTCGTTCGGCAGCTGTGCAGACGCAGGTTGGGTGTGGGCGTGGACTATCTGTCCCCACGCGGGCCGGGGCCTGGCCATCTGTCCCCACCCGCTCTCACCCTGGCCTGGCACCCAGTGTAGGAGGGTATCCCACACGCATGCTCGTGAGCATACACACACACGCGCACACGCACACACATGCGTACATACACGCACGCGCACACGTGCGTACACACATACACACACACATGCGTACACACACACACCTCTGCTCCTGGGAGAATGAACCAACCGTTCCCCTCTGTTCTTTGTGGATGACGCAAACCCAGAACGGCAATGGCCCGCGCTCCTCTCTCTACTTCTTCACCAGAGCCCTGGGAGGCCAAGGGCACTGGGCTGGCACCGGTGGCTCCCGCCTGTCACCCTCGCTGCTCGGGAGGCTGAGATCTGAGGCTCCCCCTTTGAAGCCAGCCCAGGTGGGAAAGTTGGTGAGACTCTTACGCCAATGAACCACCAGAAATCTGGCTATGGAGCTATGGCTTAAGTGCTAGAGTGCTAGCCTTGAGTAAAAAGCTCTGGGACAGCACCTAGGCCCCAAGTTCAAGCCTCAGGACAGGCACAAAAAGAAGGGGGGAATAAAAGGATCCCTTGAACGCCACCAGTACCTCGGGGCCCGGCCTGGCCTGCTTCACAGATCTCCCCCGCTATCATGTGGCAGTTGGGGGACAGCCTGGGGGGCGGGGGGGGGGGCACTCTCCCATGGCACTGTGGTGCCGGGGCCTCCGATGGACGGCCGGGTGGTGGTGTGACCACCAGGGGGCAGCAGAGGGGAACAGCTCTGTTCGTCTGTGTGGCCTCCTGAGCAGAGGCTTTGTGCAGGAAAAGCGGGAGGGGGTCTGGAGGCCCAGCAGGTCACACGCGGCCAGCCGGGAGCGCTGGAGCCTGCGAGCACCGGGCCTGCTCAAGGCACCGTCTCCGACACGGGGATGGAATCCCAGCCTGGGAGACCCACGGGTGGGGGTGGGCTGGGGAG